CAGGCGGAAACTTAACTCCGCTCACGAAACACACGCGCGCTCGCTCTTCCGCGTGCAAGTTCGATCTCGCGAGATGTCTTCCGCGGCGGAATGTCTTAATCTTTTACGACATCCCGCGAGCCGTACGCTTATCTTTCGACATAGAGCGACCGAATTGAATGTCTCGCTCCCTCTCGGCATTATTCATAATCTTTCCCCGAGGATCATCGCGCGTTCCTTTAAGAGAACGGATAAGTGGCAAGCGCGATGTTTCAGCGAAATTGATGCGTCCACGTGTTCGAATTGTCCGAACACGCGCACACTACGCGCAGTGTATTTTATTTCGTTACAGCGCGCGAGGACGGATGGTGATGAAAACAGATAGCATTTCCCAACCTCGGCTAAGCTCGCGCAATTGCCGTCGATGTCGTTCGCGAGTCCTCGATTTATCTGAACGGCGAAATCCAACTTCTCGATCGCAGGTAAAAGGGGAATGCGCGCTCATATTGCTGCGAGCTGATCGAGCGTATACCGCGACGAATTGCGACGAAGCGAGCAACGGAATAAAACGGCTAGAAAGAACGGACCCTTCGGCAATGCACTCGATGCCGAAATCGACGATACGATCCATTTCGAAATATCGCGCAGTCACGAGCCAAGTGCGATCGGGGGATAGGTCGGAAAAACCACGCCGGAGTATCGTAACGGCGAGGACACTTTGTACGGACATTTGCCCCGCGTTTTTCGCTCTCCTGCCGGCAAATAAATATTGTTCCAGTATCGGCCAAGATTCGATGCGGCTTAGCGCCGTGAAATATGGGCCGGCTCGTGAATAAAGCGCTTCGACATTAACAGCATTACGACCTTCGCTTTTCACGCCACGCCGCCATTAGTTCACATTAACGGGAGGAGGAATTTTCGCGCGTAATCATTTTTAAAGAGGGGAAAACGTGTCGACGCATTTCGCGCGAGAGCGTGAGTTTATCAATATTTCTGTCATCTCTTCCATTTATGGCTACTTTGAGTTTAGTGTCAAGAATTATTCATATTCGAATCTATTGGGGAAAGCATAGCTTCTATTTATATATTTACAGTTACCGCGGGGAATGCGGAATAAGAGAGAAGGAGAAAAAAATATTACTCATAAGCAACGCGAACGAGGATAAAAATTGGTGGTGAAATCAGAAATAAAGGCAGACATCGCTCACGGTTGCGGTGAGATTTAAAGGCGAAGTGGAAAATTTCGCTAGCGGTGGTTTCCGCCGAGTTCAAAGCTACAGATCAAACAACTCGGGTTACGTGCCGCGACTGGAAGGTACGAAGTTTGGAAAATCATCTGGCGGGTGGGCAGTGCCTGTATTGTTCTCGCGAACGCTGTTTGCTTAACCCGCACCATGACTATAACAAGAAGTTATTGTTGCCACGGAGTGCGGAGAATGCAGAACCTTATTGAATTCGTGCGAGGTAGAGCACGGAGATCGCCTTTGCGTATCGATAGCCGAGCCCGATAGCTTTCATTTCCCGGTGTTCATCGAAAGTTGAGAGAATGCTTTATTGAATGGCGATGGGCAACTTCTTCCGAAGGAACGCGGAAGTTTGCCTAGGCGGCATGGAAATCGCGACGGGATATTCCGCGTATGCGATATCTAACTCGAGGATTCAAACGAATTAGAAAGAGAGAGAGAGAGAGAGCTGCATAAACAATGTGAAAAAAAAAACTCCCGTTACTCTTTCGTCGCGGTCACGACGCATTGATTTTGCGTCGTAGATTTGCAATGAATTACATTCCCGACCGCCGTCAGCAGTTTCGGCCGGGTTATCGATCCTTTTGATCCGGCCGCATTTTCGTTACGCCTTGAGCATCGTCGAGCGATTTCCGCAATTTTCACATGTACGTCGTAACAATTTCAATTTCTACCCGCGCCGAAGTCCCATTTTCCCCGGCATACAATGGAAAATTTTATCGGACGCGTTCTATCCCTTCTTGCACGGCCGTTGCCATCCCCGATGCCACCCTCTGACCCGCCTGCCCGTTCTTTTCCATCGTATTCAGCTACTCCTATGGGATTATGATAATGACGATCCCCACGATCGTCGAAACCTCGGCTAATGGCAAATCGGGTGATTCATATAAATTGAATAAAAAATCTTCGCTTCGTAGCGCGGAGTTAAGCGCCATGCGAGCGCCACCCGATTATCGAACGTTAATGTTCCATGTCGGATTAACGTTTCTTTCCTTTTTTATATTTTACTGCAAATAATAGTTAAGCGACTCCACTGCTCAGCATTCCCAGTGGAATTCGATAGCATCTAACGAGCGACAATCAATTTCGCCCATCTATTCTATTACGTTTCCATTTATTGTAACACTTCATTCGTTACAGCGGATATTCGATGTCATACACCGCGACACGAGAAACACTCGCGTTACATCCATGTTACGTTCTATTCATTTTGAAGCATGCGAATGTTTACAGTGTGGATCCGCAACAATTAGGGAAGCGTTAGTATGATTAATTGCTAGGGATGCCTTCATTGATTTCCGTTTAATCCCTTTTTAACGCTGATATCATTATTTAATTACATCGAGCGTTAATACATTTGTAGGAAATATGTTTGAAAAATATAATGAAGACAACGAAGATCATATACGCTGCACAATAGCACACATATACACACAACTTTATTTTTCTTCTATATTCAATTTATTGTCGTGTTCACATGTACACGTATATATAGTGATACACATTGTGCAGCCGAAGAACATATAGATATTATTATCGAACGTGTACATGTTATTGAAATGTTACATCAATTAAACGATCTATTATTAATAGCCATCCTAATATTTCACATTATGTTTATGTTGCTTATTAATATTATACTAATGACCATGTTTCACCAATACGGCCGATATTTCGATAGAATATCTATCAGAAGTACAAAACATCTTTAATCCCGGAAAGTAAAACATAAACCTGTACCTTTAACAATTTTGCATGAAATAGTGATAACTATAATTTCACTATAATTTCACTATAATTCATTAAAAATAATATATATTTCTTTTGACAAGTCTTCCTTTTCTATATAAAATGATATATATAGATAGATAAAATGTACATTAATGAAGATGTTAATGAAATATAATATCAGTACTACTTTGTCTAATGGGAGGAAAATTCCATGTTCATTGTATACTGAATTTAATATTATACCTAACAGAATGTAGGTATTTCGTTATAGATTTGCGGGAATAATTTTCCGCATGTGTACTTTTCGTATGTTACTTTTAATATTAGACTATTAGATTATTACGACGTAAATAATAGTAAACAATTTATTTTCTGCATATAGTATTGAGATACATTTTTCAGGAAGTGTCTTCATACACTAAAATTAATCAATATACATTTTTATTGTGATGCACATTTTTATTATACCTACATTTGTCATCGAGTGACTCTCGCATATCAAGCTTGAAACAGCGAACTTGTGCTGAAATGTATTTTGCGTATAAACAATTATTTATAATTACGTTGGTAATATGTAGTTACGAAAAATAAAAGTATTCAGTAGAGAAAATGAAATGAAATTACGCATTGCCCGTTACGAATGTATAGCAAAGTGTTTTATGCTCAATATTATACTTTTATGAAGGGTAATACAATGGGTTGAAAAAACAAAAACGGAAACCTGGACAATCTGTGAGGAAGGAAAATCAATATTTATATACATATGAAATGTATATAATATATATAATCGCTACATAATTAACTTGATATATAATTATCTTAATATATTTATCAATAAACACGTTTAATGTTATGTCGGTTTAACATCAGCAGAGTGATGAATTACTACAGATTACATCATGAAGGTTAATGTTTACCATCGAGTATATAATTATAAGATATTAATTCTATTAATCAAGTGATTAACGCGATCTGAAATACGCTAAACACCAGGTGAATTCACGTGTAATGATTTAAGTCAGATACGTATGAGATGTTAATGCGTGATTAATTATCAGTTCTTTCAAAGTTCTTGTATAATGTATACAAAGTATCAGAGAGAATACGTCGTTTGTTCTCGTTTAAAGAGCTCTTCCTGTATATATTTTTCAAGCTCGTGGCTTTCATTCGCGGCACCCGATTTGAAATTTGATTTGCGGTACACGCTAAACGAGATGTACTTTAAAGTCGTATACGAGAATGATACAAAAAAGTAGGAGATATGCTCAGAATCGTTAACAGGTTGCGCAGTTTGTAAATGATTTGCGTCGGGCGCGAGATCAAAGAAGACGGCGGGTATTCTTGGCGCTAACAACACGGTATTTTACAAATGTTAGGCGCGATTGTGTGTGCAGGAGTCGTGAGTAATGGCGTGATGCTTTATAATTCTCGGAAGTTCGGGCTTAATCAAGTACTTATTACAATTACCTACGGCATGCACAACCCAGCAACTTTCAGTCCACTCGGGGTGCAGCCTCTGATGTTGTAAAGCGGGTTTCGCGTCTAATCTCGTTTGAATGTACGACACGCTGAGTTTCCATATTCATCTAACTTCGACTTTGACTTTAGCGCGAGCTATATATCCCCGTTCAATGTTAGATAAGATTTGTCCGTGGATTTTGCGCGCTTTGTTAAGCGCCTCGATACAACCTGTCGCGCTCGGTTGGTGGTTCATCTCTATCTTTAATCAAAATGCACAAATAACGTTTATTTATTTCAAAATACGATCAATCAATTAAGTATTTTGTTCGATTACCTGCCGGTAGCTGCATGATTCCGCGCTCGTGGAAATTTAGAAGGGATTTCGAACCGATGAAAAAACGGCACGAGCTTTTACAACAACACCTCAATGCACACTAGGGACGTCTATTGTGAATTAAATGCCGACAGATGCGATCGCTCAATTTTTATTACTTATCGTTAAAGCAGTAAAAATGCGTTATTCGCCTGCGGAATTATTACGTATTTCCGACACCGGCATAAAAGTGTCGTTGTATTTTGTCTCAGGTGGCTCCAGTCTCGCTAGTGTAGTGGCTGGAAGCAAGCCGACAAGATCCTGGGACAAGCCCCACTTCGACGATATTGCACCGCGAAATGTCACTGCCATCGTCGGCCAGACGGCGGAGCTGAATTGTTATGTCAAGCATCCGGGCGACCGTGTGGTGAGTAATATTTTCATGCTACATTTACCGCGCAACCATTGTTTTTTTCCCTACCGTACGCGGGATGAAAGGTCCAAGGAGATTCCCGTCGGAGATGCGTCGGTTTTTCCCGATTTCCCGACGCTTCTTCCGTCGTTTTTCCGTCAATGTTGGCAGCGAGGGTGTCGTTATGATGCGGGATAAACAAGGGTATAATCGATATCGCTATAAGTTATGCGAGCGAAAACTGCACCCTAGTTTAAAGTCTGACGGATTTAACTATACCTTATTTTAATCGGGGTGGAGAACTGTCGAACTCGCACACAGTGCCGATACCTCATTCCGCATTACTTCGCACCTTGGCACCGCCGTTCCGTGTTTAACGTTAATCTCGCGGACTAATCGCGTTGATTAATGTTGCGAAATTACTGGTTTGAAAAACGATAGAGCATAATTTCTGCAGTTCCGCAGCTCTCGCACGACGTTAAGTTGTCGTGTTACTCTGAAATACCTGAAAATAGAGATCCCAGATTATAGTATACGGCTCGGCTCTATGTACCAGCATAAATTGTAGAATCGCACGCTATGGGAAAATATCGGTGAAAAAACAAAAAAAATACGCGTGCAAGAGTCTTTCTGACGAAATACAGCTCTTTTCCCAAAGCGGCATTGCAGATAGGAATAGACGATATTGTATCGCGATCTGTTTTTTAACAAATCGCGTTATACTTTCCCCCGTAAAATCAAGCGAGCACAAATGTTTCTTTTTTCTTGATTTTTACCGAAATCTTATGCAATATATCGCGAATATATATTTTGAAAATTTAACGAGTCTGCACAGATGTTTTATTTATTGGGATTGCAACGGTCTTACTCGATGAGCGATTCAATTCGAACGCCTCGCCATCGAGAACGCCATGTTTGCTCTCGCAGACGGTGTAATCGAAAGCACAAACACTTCAATTTATCGCGCTTGTGCCTTATATTTACGACAAATATTTGCCTCACTGTTATTAATACTGCAATTAATATCGCGCAATTGCAAAGTTGCGGCGTGATTGCGCAAGGCGGAAAGTTTGCGCACGTCGGCAGGGAAATCTCTTTCAGAAAGAACATTTATCGTTAGAATGCAAATGGAGTGCGGAGCTCTCAAAGTCTCGACAAGTGAACAATAACCCTGCCTCGAGAGGTACGCTTGTAAGTGCAAACAGTTGGGGGAACTTTCACGGGTCCTGCGTGCGGAATGGCAGCGCGATAAAAACGCGCGCGGACATTCTTGCCACGCGCGCGCGCGCACGCGCCGTATTTACAATGGCCAACAAGAAAAGGAGCTCCCCGGGTCTGATTAAATGCAAATCTCGCCGTTATTACGGCGCCCGTAGGAAACACCACTGTCCTTTAACGTCGCTATCCAATTAACGGACGTAAGATTATCTCATTTTAAATTAAACAATCGTGCATGTGCTCTTCCTCCCTTTCCTTCTTTCTCCGTGACAAAATAGCGTAAAATCGTACAAAACGGCGCTTTGCTCTGAACTCACGAGAGACCCGCTAGCACGATCGACAATTTCTTTCTCACATTTCGCCACGCGATAAGTTTCGAATCTTCAAGGCGCTTTAACGATCACCCGCAAAAATCGCCTCGTTCACCTCTCATCGATCTCTGCCGCGAATTGTTTCGGGCATTATCTTCGACAAGCATTAACGGATCGTTAAACTTTAACGAGCTACCGCTGGTATACCGAAGGTACGGGCGGGAAGTCAAATGTTCAATCCTCGCTTCGCGGGAGGATCCAAGTTTAGGACACTTGTAATGGAATACCGTCATTTAACTTAGTTGTTGGTTCGAGATTATGTTTATTGCGACGTTATTAATAGCGAATGCACGCTCAGCGCGCACCGCATACAAAACCACAAATATATTCTGAACAGCGCGTTCAATTTTCACTTTTCCGCTGGAGAGCGCGAAAAATTCACCGGGACTTTGTGGTTTCGATCGATCCTCACGCGACTTTCTCTCTTTCACGCAAATTCAATCTTGCCTTAACAAATTTACCGAGGTGTATCGGTGAGATCAATCGAAACGGTAATCCCGGATTCACAGTTTGCGCAGTTGAGCAAGGAGTGTTTCTTTCTCCTGTGACTGTTTGCAAATACAAACGAGCTGCTCGCAGTCCGTTGTTGTTTGTCCCCGTATATTCCGAGTGTCGACGGCACCGTTTGTGCATTCGTTTGCATTGTCTCAACCATGTTATCCGTTTCACGAAAGGAAACGTGTGTCTCTGCTGGGTTCATTAACACTTCGCCGTTTGCGCGGGTGATAATGAAGTGTCTTGATGGCATAATTCCCTTACTGCGTGTAAATGGTGTGGGTCTGTGCACGCTCGTTCAGTCGCAATATAATTTGCCGTTCTTCTTCCGCGACGTTCGGCTTTTATCGAGCGCGTTATAAATTTGCAGGAAGGAACGCAAAGTTTCAAGTGCGAAAATAGCTGCGAATTAATAACTCATTTCTCAGTTGATTTACGTCAATTATAATAGCCGACTTCTGTCGCACGGTTTCCGGTATATTGCACATTGAGTATCGAGCCGATCTATTTATAGGTAAATATTCGCATAATTATGGGTGTTTATCCGGATTAGCAGCGACGGTATCAATATGCATATTAAATTCATTAAAATTGCGCAATAAACAATCGAGGTTTAATGTTTACTTCGCACTGCATATTCCCGTATTATTCCATCATAGGACGCGTAATACGAACGAACGCGTCTGCTCTACAAATAGGCGTGGTGCGTGTCGATTATATTATTCGCTCACACAAATTTAACCGCTCGCAATTGTCCGCCACAAATTTCAGGCGTTCGAGCGGAACTGTTCATTTCGCTTGGCAAAACACCGTCGAAGCTTTCAAAAGTAAAAAGTCTTCGATTTATCGTCTGATATAATTTAACCTTTGAGATAGTTGTGCCGTAGAGTGTCGGATTTTTAGCGGCGATATTAAAGGGCTCCTATTTAAATGTATTATTTACTGAAAGAGAACTTTTATATAATTTTATTTAGCTAGTAATAAGTGTTAATTTTCAGCGAAATTAAGAAAAATATATATGCACAATATTACTAGCGCCATTATTTATTTTTTATTTTTCTTACTAATGTTTTATTTATACATTAGTTGAGCTAACAGAGGTGCACACGTAATAGAAAGTGGTACATAAATTACTATAAATTGTAAGTTTCTTATTTTCTATACATTTACATAACAAAACGGTCAGTAATTATGAAATTTTTGTATAATATCTCTATATTAGTCTTTAACCTTTAACCCTCATACCATAGCAGTTTTTTCATAAAAATCCGAAATGTCCCGAATGGTCAATCGTTTTCCAGTTGCGCCAATAATTATGCCATATTTAAATCCACATATAGTGCAAGTTCCAATGAATTCTTAAAAGACTCATTTTATGCTGCAAACGCCTTAAGCAATTTTGATAATAATATTTTCAACTATAATTCACAATGGTTCTTGAAGATACACGCTAGAAGATGCGAGATATGTTCTGAGAGCGCGATTTAGATTTCACCAGTACGAGATTCTTATCCTCGACAAGCCTTGCACATAACGAGAGCGCGATCAATTGTCCGATTCCTTCTGGATACGCGCAACAGCTGGCAACCTCGATAAGACAGCCCATAACATCGTTATCAAGAAGTTTTATTATTTCGCAACGAGTCGGTCGCTTTCTTTCTCTAACGCATCGGTAGCCAACCTTTACAATCGTAATAAGAGAGACGGTCGTTAAACCACTCGTCTTCAGACGCTCTCGAAATTCCCGAGATTGTACAGACTGAGCTGTGTGGGTGTGCGTTTGTGTGTGTTTGTTCATCCGCTTAGGGTATTTGTACATACAGGGTGACCCAGAATTTCGCTGGGCCGTCCGAAATAAACTTCCCTCGGGCACAAAAACATCGGGATAAGTTTGAAATTACGCGCAACTTAAAAGCGAACGACATATGAATAAATTCTTCGAAAACGAGGCTTTAAAAAAAAAACTGTGCTCTTTGTTTGATTTTAAACGGATCTTAACGAGACTTGCAAAAAATCGCAATTACTTGCAAAGATATTTAATGTTGAGAATCACACCGTTGACTGAAATGTATATAATTTTATTAACTTATTCACTTCTTCAAGCGGAGATGGCGGAGCTTTCCGATATTTATTCCTGCGACTCCTTAAAAGGCTCCAGATTGCTTCTCGCAACTTTCAACAACTTTCTCTATAATTTGAGATTCATCAGAAACGGCAAACACGACGCGAAACGGATAGAATATCTCTTGCGGGAATGTAGCGCAGCCGCATTATACCGCCCTTATATGGATGGCCGCGTTTTGCCCTGTGTGCGTGCGATATCTTCCGCGAGCTTCCACGAAGATGTATGACTTCGGAAGTTGTTGTAACGCGAAACACCCGGTATGGACGCGTACGTGTGTCTAACGATCTTCTTGGTTGCGCAAGGGCTGCCTTTAATTGGCAGACGGAAGGGCTTGGAACAACGGAAGAAGCAAGTGCAGGTTAGAGCGGGGATTGCGAGGGTGGCTGCCCCCGACTGCGCGTCCTCAGTGCTGGCAAATGAACCGATCAAGCATACCCGGCCAAGTGGTTGCAGAGTGTATCGGACCGCCCGCCACTACGTCTATGATATACTTGTCGCGCGTAGCACACACGCAAATGTCGCGCGATAGATACACCGGTGTGTACACGGGCGTTGTTATATCGATGAGTATGGACGGCTGGCCAAGATCAAAGGACGAATGTCGGGAAGGCAATCGCCAAATTTAATAAACCGACGAGCGCGACGTTGAACGACGCGGGCCAGACGCTTGCGTATTACAGCGAATTTCACCCCTTACGTGTATTTTGACAAATTGAAAAACCTGCGCCTTTGAAGTAGCGTAACGTTTGACATGCGCCCGATGTCACGTGATGAAAGAGTTGAAAACGCGTTAAAATTCGAACGAG